CAAGTTCGGAGTTCAATTTCTAAGCTTCAGGTGGAGATAAGAGAGGGTTGTAGTCGAGTAGTCCCGAGGTAAGTAGAAGCTTATCCGTTACAAGGGTACCGATCTGCTTGCCACTATTGAATCGCTCTTTGAAGTATTTCAAAGCGTTGAAGGTAGGCTCGGAGAGCTGGGGAATCGGCGAAATAGCAACTGAAAATGACAAGAACAAAGGTCAAATCATGAAGAAAGGAAATCAAAAGCAAGGGAAGACTCCACCCTTTACCTAAGTTCCCGAACCTACAGTGGACGTTGTAGAAGGGCAGGTCGAACTCGTTCTTGGCCAGCCACGATCCGGAGGCGAAGAACCACTTCCCTACCCACTTCTTTATGGAAGTCAGCCCTTTCAAAATGCCTCCTACACCCTTCCTAGCACACAAATAGTACCTCCCTGGCATTCTAGAAATTCGTTTAACCTCAAAGCAGGCCAAAAGTTGATCAACCCCGAGGAGGTCTAAGTCATCAACTTCCTTACACCTAAACAAGAATAACACGGCGAGACCAAAGATAACTCCTCATACATTGGGGCCAGCTGCGCAGGAGCCAGTCCAGTTCGGAACAAAAACTCCTGCACTAAAGGGTGAACGGGAAGTCGGAACCCATACTCGAACATTTTCAAGTCAAGGGTTACGCACCCATCTGAAGGATTGTCAGCTCTTTCCCCTTCCTTGGGAAGCCTAAGGGTAATGTCATCTGGGATGTTATACCTCCTACGAAGAGGACCAAGGTAGTTTTCAGGCATCTGGGAAGGGTATTCTAAACCTTGGCCCAAGGTAGAGGTATCACTATCATCCCCTTCGTCATCAGAAAACCTAAAATTCTCTATCTCTTCCTCCTCTAATTCGGAATCTAACCTACTGGCGAACTCCTCTACGGAATCAGCTTTCTTAGGAGAAGAGCTTCGATTCCGAGCTAGGTCACTAGATGGGCTATTAAGAGAGGACGAACTAGAGAATTCCGACATGATTCGAAAAAGTAAAAGGAGAAAATAAGAGAAACAAATTCAAAAGAACGAGACTGACCTAGAGCAAGAATTTCGATCTGATCAGGTCGGACTCCAAGATTTCATATACCGTAAAAAGTGGAAGCAGAACCCTGAAGGTATTTATAGTAACCCGAAGTTTAATCTCAACCGCACACGTGTCTAAAAACGGACGTCGCAGATCAAAAGAATTCCGAACGTCTTGCATACTCGAGTGCGCGCCGCTCGCCGGTTCCGCTTTCGAGATCCCCAAACAGCACAATTAATAAATTGAATAAATTAAATGCTCAAGTCACCACGTGGATTGGTCTCTTTGGAATAGTAACAAAACTTCTCTGCTAGGTTGAGATCGAACCCGGCAAGAGAGGGGGCCGATGTTCGGGGATAAAATATCCAATTGTCACGTGGAGGACAGAGATTTGCAATTAAAAGAGATTTTTTAGGAGAGTTGTTTTGCAAAGCTCATCCTCGGAACCTTCCGAGGAGGGAAGTTCATTACTCCTAACTGTATTGCCACCCCGAAAGTATCCGAGTTCGATCTACTCAAACCCGACATATCCGACCTCAAAACCGACCAAGGTAACTGCCTGTCGTGACCCCTGTTGGGATCTAAACCTATAAATAGAGGGCCCCATTTCACCATCAGGTATTGATTTTCTCCTCGAACTTAATAGTGAGTCCGAGCTACTTACTGACTTGAGCATCGGAGATTTTGCCCTCTTGTGCAGGTTTTCCCAGTCTTTCAGGTCGGAGTTAGGACTGGGTTCGAGGTAAAGAACCGTTGTGCAGATTCCTGCATAAACAGGTTGCCCCTTTCCTTAAGGCCAATGTCGATGCAGCTGTTTACATGACATTGGGTGCAGGGGTGGGTGTTATCATTCGCGATTCGGCGGGCCTTGTCTTCCTCACGGCGATGCGGCCCTTTCTTGTATTCCGGGGGTGGACTGGGCTGAATGTTTTGCCGTGTTTGAGGGCCTCCGGTTAGCTCTGGAGGCTGGATTTTCTCAACTTCAGATTGAGACCGACTCTCTCCGGATTTCTCAGCTGTTGGATTCGGATAGTGTTGACGACTAGGAGCTGGTAGGCGCACTGGGGTCTGTTATTAAAGAATTTCTTCACTCACAATGTTCAGGTTTCGTTTAGCTTCACAAGACGGGATGGCAATCTTGCTCAATTGTCGGTGACGTCTTCCCAGCTTCATGTTTGGCTTGAGGATGGGCCTGCAGAAATTTCTGGAACTGTTGTAGTTGATGGTAGTTCTCTATTTTAGCGTCGTTTTACTTGTATGTCAAAAAAAAAATTAAAAAAATTGATATTTTCTGAGGTGGAGTGATTTTGGTAGGTTTTACCATTGTCAAAATCACTACTCATTTTCTTTCCGGATGATATTTGACAAATTAGAAAATTGATTTAAGAATTTTTAAGCTTATTTATATAATGATTTTCGATAATCGATTATACTAAAATCTCTTTTTAAAAAATTACCAATTATACAATCA